TTYGTATTTGATGGAGCACTTTTAAATGTCAATCTTTTCTCAAGTGACATATAGAATATTCCAAACTAAAATAATATAAAAAAATTAAAATGCATTAAAAAATATGCATGCTTTCAAGTTCYAATAGCTCATTTTCTCAAATTTTGACCTATAAAGGCCCTGTATGTTTTAAAACCACTTTCAGACCAATCAAGAGATTCTAATAAAGGCCTAAGTATTTAAATTAGCTTGATCACTTCTCCCAGCCAYCCCCTTCTAAAGGGTCAAAAGAATGAAGCACCAACAAAAAAAAAAACAGAAAACTAATTTTTTTAACTCATCAGAAAGACATCCCCTAGTACGATGGTKGTAGGAGTTCTAGTTACTGAATCTATCTACTCCAGCAAAACAAACTTCTCTCTGGAGGAATCTTATTTATGTTGCAAAATCTTGGCACAGGACAAAAGTGTCCTTTGAGTTAACTCTAATTGCTCCAATTAAAATTTCTAAATCCTCCTCCGAGCTTGGARCAGAAAAGGCTAAGAATTTTAACACACCCATGAAAAATAATTTGTTTGCACAACTTGTCACAGTTGATTAAAATCTGGYCAGACAAGGGGAACAGCCTCTCTCTGCACTGGGCACAGTTCCGTGGGGCGCTGACGGTACGTTCAGGCAGCTTCACCCATCCTTTCTCTCTGAGCCCTTTGCTGCTGCTGCTCTTTGGGCACCACAGGATCAAGTTTTGATAATCTAAGGCTGAACACACCTCTGTTATAGCCTAATCAGAGCTGGCTGCTCAGACAGACCTCTGCCCCACGTGGAGATAGAATAATGAGTGCTCACAGAAATTTAGTGCTAATTCCTAGAATAAAGTGGGCACTGTTCRATTCCAAACAGCTACAAAGAGAGATCGGTTCGTGTAATAAGGCCATCCTAGATAACTGTGATGCAGTTCACAAATAGCACTTTGTGGGGTTGCCATTTCAAAAAACTCTGAAAAAGAAATAATARCTTTTTCTGCCATAGCCTCTTTCCTTAAGCTCACTGTGAATGAGCACCCTCATGAACCATCCATTTCAGTGCCTGTTTTACATACAAAACCTCCCTTTATTTGTTAAGCACTACTTCCCTAACTCCTTCATTCAGTTTGGTAGTCAGCRGGAATAAAAATTCATCTTGTTTGAATGAGCCCAATCATTTAAAAGAAAATACTAAAGTCAAAACTGCATTTACTACCACACAGATTCTGGACACAAAGTATAAAACTTCTGTTGGTTCTTCCCTTGTTCCACACCACTGTAACATGCAGGCCTTGGCTCTAGAATTGACTTCTGAAGAAACAAACCTTCAGGATAAAGAGCCTTCTTTCTGTTTCCAAATAAATGGTTGTGGTCAGCCATCYATACTTACAGTCCTTGTTGGACTGTCCTTACACATCTTAGTCTGCCCACAGTACTCCAAGTGTTTAAAACACCAGGTATGGATGCAGTCACATCAATTCTGCTATAAATTGCACTGATACTTGTGCTATAAATCTGTGTGGCTGAGAGAAATCTATTTCTAATCAGTTCATCTAGCATTTTGGGGAGCAAGGAGGTGTCAAAAAGAACACAGCAGGCTTTGTTATCTTTAGAGCTATGGACCATCACTGATAATTCTGCTACAGGCAAGTCTGGAACAAAGAGGCAGCAGTTAATGCAACTTGGGAGCTATTCTGGAAGCTGCAGTACAGCTGCTGGATTTCATCAAGTATTTCTTGCTGGCATGAAAATAATTTTGTTTTTGAAAGTTAAGTCTAGAATACCAACAATAATAATTGTCACTAAGACTGAAGAAGAGGTATTCAAAAATAGCAGCCATCTTTTTAGAAACTATGAAGCTCAAGCTTGTTTTCCAGGGTAGAGGAATGTGGTACAGCCACACTGTTATCTGCTGTAGTCAGGGCATTCTGATGTTCAATGAGACATTTCAGTTTTGATTACTTTGTGTTAATGAGAGAATGTTCTCTGTATCAGCCAGTTCTGAATATATTCTATACTGGATAGGATTTCCTATGGGCTTATAYGGAAAGATTTCTTGAGATGCCCAGAATTCAGAGCAATTGGGAAAAGCCCAAGAGAGTCAAATTGCTTATGGAGATACCTCTCAGTAGCTGCAGGAGATTTCATCTCATAATCTGGATTTGGGAGACTGAGACAGTGCCTTGGGAGATGATAAAATATTTGTGATATCTTTCATATGAACAATATTTAAGTAGCCCTGACTTTTCAGCCTGGAAAATGGGAGAACTTGGAATGGATGTAACAACCTAAAACTTTGTGGCATGCCATTATAATCTTACCAGAACCATAAYTCTGACCTGTCTTGGAATTTATTTTCTTTATGAAATTAGTGTAATCTTTAATACAAYAACAGCAATAGCAAAAGCTGAAGAAATCAATTAATTCACATTTAATTTTAAAGGTCACACTGGTTGCCACTGTAACTGCACTGTCTGCCTGAAAAATTATCTGATGACCTTGACTCTCAACATGTAAGGTTTCAAAATCAGAAACTGAGGGATACCTTTTTGCTTCAATGTGCAGATCTTCAGTATTATTTCTAGCAAATATTTTACCAGAAATCTAACATCCTTGTGGAGTCAGAAACAGTATTAGTAGATTCTGACATCTCAGAACTTCTTTTGCTAAGATGGTCAAGACTGCTAATAAAGTTTTCTAATGTGTTAGGATATGAAATATAAACACTGACCTCCCAAGCCCTCGCAAATCCCYTTGAGATAGTAATGCTTCCCTTAACAGCAGTATTTAGAGAAGAGTTTAGCCTTTCCAGATTTTAGGAATGCCAGATATAGAGCCACCAAGAAAGCAGATTCATTCCTTTAAGGCAGCTCAAAAATTCCATTGTTAATATCTGGGGTAGCAAAGGGCTAAAATAACCTAAAACTATGGRAATACAGATGAACATTAGAGAAGGYCACCTGAGGAGGGTGATGCAGACACACCCAACAGATGACACACCTAAGAGAGACAACTTCCAAGTGTGAAACATGGACAGCAACTGTGAACCAGATCCTGCAGAGCATCATGGTGCTCAGGCAGTCAGATGCACTCAGCTGCAATTTCCTCTGATKTTCTCCTGCCTGCCAGAGCCCCAGGCATGAGACTTGAGTTTCACGCAGGAAAGACTGAGGTCACTGAGCTCAGCCTTGCTCAGAGCTCAAGGACAGCACTTGGGTACAAACCAAACCATCCCTGTTGTCACCCAGTTCCTTCAGGAGATAACAAGGCACTGTGTTTCTGAGGCTACGAGGGAGCTCAGCTTCAAGGCTGGATCCCACACCACATCAGTGGCTTGAGCTACAAATTACATTATACCCAGCTTACACTGCTCAAGGAATCAGAGCCGGGTAAGCAGCAAGGAGTAATTAATTTTAAAACATTTGATAAACAACATTTGCACTTTCAAGTCAGTAGGTCATCTCTACCTCTTCTAGGAAGTCTTTTACCATAAATACTAGGATTTAAATGACTGATGATTTCCAAATATGCATGAATGAAACAGGAATCCTTATCCCTCAACATCTACTCATCAGGAACAGCAGGAACAAACGTAACCACATTCCTAAAAAATTGCGCAGCTCCTGCCAGCTTTTCATTTATGTTGCTGGACTTAGAGCAGAAACAAATGGAAGCCATTTGAGGCTCTTCCTGAAATAGTTACAAGAATTGGAACAGAATTATCATTGGTTGCTAAATAAAGGAAAAAACTGTAGTGCAGAAACTCTGGAATCATATTATCTTCACTCCAGACACTCAAGAGATTACTGCTCTAAAAAAATAAATCTGGCCTAAATCTGGCTCAGAAATGCAACGGGCTCCAGCTTTCTTATATAAATGCTTGCAAGAGCACAAGCACAATGGGTCAGGCTCTGGAAAATATATGAATAAGAGGTATTAGGAAGTATTTATGTGCTGCATACACTCATCTCAAAAACTCTTCCAGGCCTTGCTTTCCTGACTTCTTAGAGAGGGGGCTCAAATGTTGTGCACACGTAGAGCTTTCAAAAAAATGCTGAAGCACGAAACAGACACCAATGTGCAGAACAGGTCATGAGATTCATACACATGGTGCACACACATGGATAGCTGTCAGTTCACGCCTTCAGTCGACAGATGTAAAATAATCTTTACACAGAATCTTATCACTAGTAAATCCATGTATATACRTATTTATCTGTGCATCTGCACAATCCATGCTGAATTACCAGCCTTTCGGAAGTTAATATTAAAATACTTTAGGAGGTTGGGTGGCAAGAGGAAAATGCATTTAATAATATCAAAAAATGTAACAACACTGGCTACACAATGACTCACTTTCTTTCATTTATTTTCCTTTCTTTTACTGAGATACTTATATCTATATAGCCTATATTTTATTATTATTAGTTTAGAATATTAATAGTGAAGAATGCCTGCTATTGTACTCTTTTAAAGTACAATACAGGTGTAACAATGTTTTTTCTGTTTTCAGAAGAATGGTGAGAAGAGGTTACTACATGTGCAGCTGTATCTCTTTAAGAAATCTTTTTTTTGGCTGTGCATCCAGGGCAGCTAATAGTTTTATCAAATACCCTTCACAGCAAGACTACTGTTTCCATGGAAACTGTAGAGCAATCATCCATTACCCTTGCAAAGATTTCTCTCTCTGCTCTCACCTAAATACAGGTAGCTACTTTCTCTCTAACTACAACAGAACAGAAGAATTAATTTTACAGGCTGTGTGACAATTCACCTCCAAAGCTTCCCATGGAGACTATAGGGAAAGCRGGACCTACAGCACAAAACCCCAAAAGGTAAGGAAACCATAAAAAGTTTTAAAATAGGCMTAAATTCTGCCAAGTCTAATGCAAAATACAGCTTATAGAGGATGGAAGACTCTTTCCTTACAACTGTGAAATGGACAGGAGACAGARAAGAGTTTAAGATTGGAGATGAATCCTGGTTTTGGTCACTCACCTCTCTCAGCATGTTGTTTTCTTTTTCCTTCTGTTCGAGAAGGCTTTCCAGGTGGTGCACGTGCATCTCTGCCTCAGCCAACCGCCGTGTGCGCTCATGGTCTTCCTCAGTGGCTTTTGCTGACAGACCTTTACTCTGCAGCATCTCCAGCAGCTTTTTGATGGACTCATCCCGTGCGTTTAAGGTCTGTTTCTGYGTCTCAATACGCAGTTCCATCTCCTCCAAGGTTTTCCGTAGCAGGAACAGTTCCTTGGCCTGGCGCTCGTGCTCCGCGTGCAGTCGCTGGAAGTTTTCCTCAGTCAGCTCTGCCACGAAGGGCTCACTGGTTCTAGTGCTGCTGTCCTGCTGAAATAACTGGTTCAGGTCCCGCTGGATCCGGAGCTCGTCTTGGAGAGCCTGGATAGTCATCTGCATATGCTGAAAGAACAAATAAATGAAATCAGAGGATCGCCTCCACGGGAGAAATAAAGAAAACAGTGTGAGCCACTGAACCATCAACCAAGAGGAAACCACAATACCAACAGACCAACACTGGGTTTTTTTAGCAGAATTGACATGGAAGTGGGTTATACTACAGAAAGTTCAAGTCCCTCCTTCTGTGCCTGGTACAGGTTGCTTAACTCTTAGAAGACTCTTGCTTGAGTGACTCTCCCACTTGCATCAACTTGAGAGAATGATTGTTTCAAATGGGAAAATGTCAGCAGCTTCCAGAAACTTATGCCAATGTTTCCAACTGTTCACCTGCCCTGTAGAAGAATTCTGCAGAAGACGACCCAAAATTACTATAGAATTACTATGGTAGTACTACAGAATTACTACAGAATTACTATCTTGACAAAGCAGAGGGACACTGTGTTATTACAATTTACATATCACCTAACAAAATGTAATCAGCTGTGAAGGCTCCCAAGGTCTGCAGTACTAACCCTACACACAGCACGATTTTCCCAGCTGACTTAGAGAAGAAAYTTCAGCATGTAAAGAAGAACTGCARCTAGAGAAAACTGTATCAATGCTGACCAGGGAAAASGGTCCCATCATATAATTTTATGCCTGAGGCTTTTAGTAAGAAGGGGAATTACCACCTCACAAAGAGTAATATGAAGTCAATCAAATGATCAGCAGTAWTTTTTTGTTGTGTTAGACAATCCTGTCTCAATGACAGTGGGTTAATTTAATGGGACAATACAGGAGAAACAGTTTGCCTACAAAAAAATCCTCACCTTAGATTTAGAYAAACCTGATTTTGTTCTCTGCAAGACAGAAATATCAAGCCAACAACAGAGAAGTCAGCTTTGCGCTGACAAAGCTTTGATTATCAGGAATGAGATGCACACTCTACTCCCTTAAGTGAGCTAGACATGACTGCAATTTAGTCTGAATGTGAACAAGTCAAATGCACTGATCCCTGGAGTCTACATTTATATTACAAAAGCCAGTGTCTGCAATACAGCTACTTCCAGCAGTCACCAGGCTAAAGTACTAGTTAGAGAAAACTATAATCTACAATCAAGCTTGATGCAGAGATACACTGGTACGATCTATGGTGCCAAAATAGTATGTTTTCTATAAATCCAAATACATCATTTAACTCAAGTTATTGTAAAAAGAAAAACTGTAAGAAGACTTGGGTTTAAGCATTACTTCAAGAATATGTTTATCACAATTCTTATTTAAAATGCCTTGAAGATGTTAAAAAGCTGTCTGGACATGGTTGTGGACAACAGGCTCTAATAGGTCCTGCATGAGCAGAGGGGCTGGACCAGCTTATCTGCTACCAACCTCAGCCACTCTGTGATTCTATGAAAAGACAGCAGACAGTATTTATAGCACAGTTATCTACCTTTAATATGTTTTAGAAATATAAAGAGTTAGTTTGCTTGTATAGAATAGTGCACAAAGGCAGTACAATCCCATTTTCTTTGCAGAACTCAGTATTTTAGACCAAGYACTTCCCCTCTGTTCGTATTCTGGCCTTAAGTGGCTTTAAAAAAGCAAAGCTCTGTTACACCATCAGCACAATTAAGTCCACACTGCCACTGAAGGGAAACAATCTTGCTGTTTGTCCTTCCTTACATAGTTGGCACTGACAACGGGGTGAAATTTTCACCTAATGGCTGAAAATCAGCCCCAGCAAAGCCAAACAAAATATCTTTTCAGCCAGATCTCCAATTCAGTTGAGAGTGTGTCTACATCAGTGCTATTCTGGTGCAAAGAAGGGATGGTAGGTGCTGTCAAGGAGCTGGCAGAGAAGAAAAYGGAACCATCCTTTACAGCATCGGCATGAACTGAAATCAGCTTAAATGCACAGCTCTGTGGTGCTGTAACTGTTTTTTTTTTCCTTCTATTTCAATAACACAATACATGGCAGTTACTGATTTGGTTAATCTAAAACTACAYTTCAGGTTATAGAATCTGTGTGACAACATAGCACAGGTATACTGGGTGAGGGAATAAGTAATTACTTTGTTCTAAAAAGTCCATTGCGTTTTTATATTGGCAGATKATTAGATTTATTTTCAAGTAAGAGATGAAAAAATATCTGAAGCAAATTAATGTGGATTTCAAAAATGTTTTCAGAAATTGCTTTAAAAAAAATTGAAGACCTCAACTTTCACTTATTGTCATTTCTCCAAACCCCAAAGTGAGAATGACAGAACAATCTCCCAACCTTACAACAGAGGCACTGCAGGTAGGCAATCAAAACTACCACATCTGTTCAATGAATGTGTTGATTGAGCTGTAAGAGAAAACCAACTGCACTCATTAAAACATTTGCCTCATCAGTTCCTATATAACACCAATAAAGTCAGTAGGACTACAACAGCAGTAGTGAATGTCCTCAAATTTTGTTAAAATTAAACAATAACCCCACTAGATATAACTTTACAATTCCACACACGAGTTAATTCCATTTGTATTTGAGAAGCCCTACTTATCCACAGCCCAGCTGTGTGTTGTTCCTCCAGCTAACAAATTCCYACATGCTTCCACCTGCCTCTCCACACACTGCCACTTCAGCATTTCCTTTCTCCCAGGCAAGAAAAGAGCTTCTTCTGAACAAYCACATCATCTATTAAATGAAATTATTTCCTCTACTCAATGTTGTCTCGGAATCAAACTTGGGTTATTTATAAACATCAATGGACTAAATCACCACAACCAAATTCTTATATTTTTACCATCCAATCTGCTGTGAAATGTCATTTCAGGTTACATAGACAAAAACTGTGTCTCGGACCCACAAAAACAATTCCCCCTAAACATGGGAAAGCTTCCATAGAACTTTTGGGTCAATGAAACAAAATCTATTATATCATTCAAATAGAAGATGTGGAAAAAAATATATATACCGGTGACAAACAGGATTTACTGGTACCCATCAGTCTGTGAAGTAAAGACAAGGGAGTTGTGAATACCTGACAATTGGTCAGCAACAGTAATTCAGTTTCCCAGGAAAAATGAAGAGGTGRGGTTAGAGGAAAAGTTAGAGCTGAGCTTATGAATAACTCTCACTGTTCTCTGAACTGCTGCTCAGTTGAGAACAAACTTTATTATGTGAAAGGTAACTGGAAAACACACCACAGAACATTATTCTATGCTTTTGACACCCACTCTTTTCCAACAYGCAAAACGTATGCAAAATGGGTTCTTTTCTCTGCCTTCCAATTTTTTTTATGGTTCTCAGAATAACAGAACAATATTCTTTACTAACTGGTGTAACTAAACTACTTTTTCAGTTAAAATTTCTTGTTTTCTATATAATTTCAAAGAAAAGATCATTTTCCCTCTGAAGGAGCAGGCAAGTTTTACTAGCTTCTCATCCATTTTTTARACTTCACTTTTAAATCAGCAGCTATCTTAGAAAGGCAAAATCTTGGCCAAGTTCATGCAATATAAGCCACTGATGCTTCATGCTATGTCCAAGACCTGACTAGAGACCTCAAGCAAACCTGAAAAATGCTGTTGAAAGTGTAATTTAGAAATAAACATGTAAACATACTTTTAATACCACTGAGCTTTATTATGCCACTCTACTGAGTAAGTACCAATCTTTTGTGAAACAGTTTAATACAGGCAATGTAATTAAAGCCAGGWCAATTATGATGAACCTGTACTTGGCTTGAAATTTATTGCTCTYATCTCAAATCTTGAGAATTCCCTGCTTTTTGTCAAGTAATGAAAACCGGTCTTAAAGCCTCACTACAAATTATAATTACACCTGCAAATCACRAAGGTATTTTTGTGAGCACAGTTCTCTGGTCTCACTGGTTATGTCCAACATACTTTTCTCTTGACAGAGCTAAGCACCTTCAGGCTCATCTCAAAAATAAATCCTAAGAGAGCACGGTGCAAATGASCTCTTACACCAGGTGTTCCTCTGCCTGTGGTACTTCCACTTGAACTTACAAACCAGGCTCCGCATAGAGACAAGAGTTTGTCTTCTAACCAGCAGCCCAAAATTTACATCTCTAAGTAGAAGAACATGATTCAATCTTTGYCTCCACCTACCAGGACTCAAATTCATTTCCCACACCTTAGCAGATTGGTGAGCTTCCAGCCTAGAGTATGAGTGCAGCCAGGGATGGAGAAGCTCCTGAGATTTGGTTCCCAAAGCAGTCCTGTTGTTGCAGTCTCAGGGTAATGCCATGCACCCACTGCTGTACTGGTGAGTTTGGGAACCTTGCTGCAGGCAGTTCTTTTCATCTCTCTCTGTTGAAGCTTTTCCTTTTTGCATAAAATATTTAGAGATTCAGTAGGCCTGACAGAAAGYATTAAAGAGAGCACAGCTTCTTATTCTAATTGGTTAAACACATAAGAACAGAAAGACCTGAATAGCAATACTTCCAACTAACTTAAATGTTTATCATCTCTCCATTCCAAGAAAGTGGGGGGATGTGCATTTTAACTTTCTCAGTCAGAAAAAGAAATTTAACTGATAATCTACAGCCAAAACCTGTATCCTAACCTTACATTTTAGATCAAAAGGAGGCAGCCATTACTACTACCACGATTTTCAAAGAAAGGATTAAATTGTGACATGCTTTTTAAAGACAGGATTTCCACACTCATCCTTGCAAGACAGAGCTTGACCTACTGAGCTACAGTGTTTAGTATTCCAATATGCATTTGTCCATTTAGGTTTGGTTGCCTGATTTAGATCATTCATACTGCAGATACTGTCTCTGTAACTACTGCAATCAGATATATAACTTCTCCCATAATTTATTCAAGARGTCTAAATGCCCAAATTAGACCTCTGGGTTCTGCAACACAGGCAAGGTATCTATACACCCAACATTTCTGTAGTTAAGTTCTCCTTAATCGCCTGGATTTAAATTCTAAGTAGGTTAAAGCAGGAAAATTCCTTTAATTTYTGAATACCAAGAAAAAATACAGTATGTTCAAGAGAAGCC